TCCACTATATCCTGTGTCATCAAAATGTTTTTTAAATGTAAATGATCCAGGGTCGCCTGGGTGGCTCAGTGGTTGAGCATCTCCCTTCAGCGCAGGTCATGATACCAGGGTCCTGGGATGGAGTTTTGCATGGAGCTCACCACAGGGAGCCTGCTTCTCCCTCTGCCTATGTCTCTGCCTCTCTCTTGGTGTCCCTCATGAATAAATAAATAAAATCTTAAAAAAAATAAATTTAAATGATCCATAGGATATCTTCTGATAATAAAGGAACCAAACTAGAAATCAAACAGTAGTGGAAGGACAAGAAAAACCTCAAAACACTTGGAAATTAAACAACATACTCTAAAATCATCCCTAGGTCAAAAAAAAGACTGATTTCACTTTTATTTCTTTGTCTTCCATTGTTTTGTCTTTTTCTCTTTTTCTCTTTCTTTCTTTTCTTTCTTTCTTAAGTCAAAATTTAAGAATTTTTGTCTGGTTAGCAACTCTCCCATTCTAGTGACAGAGAAATCAAGTAGGTCAAGGTGATACCGAAGCAAAAATAATAAGCCTACAACTGAGATTCAGATGGAAACCGTAATTGTGTACATGACCGTGGGTTAGAGGATTCATGCCATCCAATAGGGAACTGCAGCTGGTGTTTTCAGTTCCTCATCAAGACTTCCTGCTTTCCTGAGTTTGGGGCCATGATGTAGATCTGCCACTGGATAGAGCTTAATCTGAAAGAGTCAAGAGGGAACACACGTGAACCAAATGTGGTTCTTGTAAAATATTTTGGTCTCCAAATGAGCAAAATATTGTCCTCATATGAGAGTTTAAATGGCACCCTTCTGAGGTACTGATAAGTACATGCCTTACTAAAAGCTTTTAAACCTTCCTAACACCCAGGGAGGAAGGTGAGCAAACAGGCAGTATATGAGAAAATAGCTCCGAACTCCACTGCTAAGAAGAAGGAAGGATGGGGGGCCAGCTGTGATCGTGGCACACTGCTGCTTCATTCCCTGCCACCCACAAAGTTAGGTTCGTGTGCTGTACTCTGATATTCAGGCTCCGTCTAAAGATGGATCCAAACTCCCTTATCACCTCTATATACACCATGATCCTGTTCATTCTCGTCCACATTAGAAGACTTCCATTACACTTCAGGAAGTAGAGGCTGAATTATTTTTGTTGGGTTCTTACCTGTGTGACAAGTTGGCTATGGTTAGCACTGATACCTGGGATGGTAATTTAGGAAATTAGCCAAGTGCTGATCCCTCCTTTCCCTCCCTTCCTTACCTCTGCACCTGAGCTCGAGAGAAGGAGAAATCCAAGGCACACTACCACAGCTGGGTGATAAAGGTCAACATCAATGGTGACAAATCATGTTGATAGTATGTGCCCTTGATGTGATGTGATGAGGATGGCACTTTATCTCTCTGGGCTTCCTCCCATAGTCCCAGTCTAATACTTTGGGATAACATCTCTTTTTTATTATAAATGGATGTTAATTTTGATTACTTTTCTATATCAATTTAGATCTGATTTTTCTCAAACTGTTAATGTAATGTAAGGCAATCCTGGTCCTAAATCACCCCAGATCCACCCTCATTCCTCCCCATTCCGCTCTAGATTATACTGGGGTTGACCCCTGTAAGTTACAATTCCCAAACTCACCAACCATTGGCTGCCTTTCTGGTTCAGCTAATTGTCACACCATTAAGAGAATAGAACCCAGAAGGGTGGAGAAGTCAGAGATTTTTCTTCTCCTTCCTCTACAACAACTGGCATTTCCTTCAATGGCTACATATTCTTCATGCCTCCAGCTACATCAGATTGACCCATCATGGCTCTAGATTCTGCTGAATCCTGAACCCAGGTTCTAGTAACACTGTTTCCTCTCTTTGTTCTTCAGGCCTAGAGGTGGGTGTGATTTCCTTGTAATGCTAATTATTGGGTTTCCCAATTCTCCTCTGCTTGGCTTCTCTATCACTTGCATGACCAATTCCTTGCATTAAATTTCTTCCATGTTAAATATTTACAGCGGCTTTGATTTTCCTGAACCATCCTGACTATTACATGTGGCCAATTATATTGGTTGATCTACTAGTGTTCAACTTCTTTGCATCCCTGGGTTAAACTCAACTCTGTCACCAGCAGCTAGTTATGTTTAAGTTTCTCCTATAATTAATAACAAAAATAAAATGAAATACTGCTGAACCCTGTAACTTCCTCAAAATAACATTATAACACTCTTACCATCTTTGCAGTCTTCTTATAATAATTTTACACTTCCTAGTTGTGAGATATACATTGATAATACTCTAATAGCATAAGTAATAGAATGACCTGCCAACTTGTTAAAAATTTGAGCAATACAGGTGCCCCTGGGTGGCTAAGTCAGTTGAGCATCCAATTCTTGATTTCGGCTCAGGTCATGATCTCGGGGTAGTGAGATTGAGCCCCATGTCGGGCCCTGAGATCAGTGGGGAGTCTGCTTAAGATTTTCTCTCTCCAAACAGGAGGGTATCTTGCTGAGTGAAGTAAGTCAATCGAAGAAGGACAAACATTATATGGATTCATTCATTTGGGGAATACAAATATAGTGAAAGGGATTAAAGGGGAAAGCAGAGACAATGAGTGGGACATATCAGAGATGGGGACAAACCATGAGATACTCTTAACTCTGGGAAATGAACAAGGGGTAGTGGAAGGGGAGGAGGGCGGGGGGTGGGGTGAATGGGTGATGGGCACTGAGGGGGGCACTTGACAGGATGAGCACTGGGTGTTATTCTGTATGTTGGTAAATCGAACACCAATAAAAATAAATTTATTATAAAAAAAAGAACAAGATGAATAAAGGAATAAATGTCAATCATATATATATAAAAAAGAAAATATCAGTGAGGGTGAAAAAACATGAGACACACCTAACTCTGGGAAACCAACAAGGGGTAGTGGAAAGGGAGGTGGGTGGGGGATTGGGGTGACTGGTTGACGGGCACTGAGGGGGGCACTTGGCAGGATGAGCACTGGGTGTTATGCTAAATGGTGGCAAATTGAACTCCAATTTTTAAAAAAAGGGACATAGATAATAATTCACTAATACCCAGATGTGCCAGACCTGCCGCACCCGCTGCCACCATCTGGCCCTATTCCGCTCCTCCGCGGCCTTCCTGGGCTCACCATGGGCCCTGCCCTCCTAGGTCGCCTCTGTCCTGGGCACCAGGGTCCCCGCCCCCACAGGCACTCCCTGTGCTCCTCCCCCCCCCTCAGACCTGGCAAACTTCCCTTCTGACCTGGCTCCTGAGCTCTGTGGGCTCCGGTCCCCACCCCCACAACCCAAGCGCATTTCCCGGGTGGCCGCGTGTGTCCGGCCTCCCCAGGGCCGCCCCCCAGTCCCGAGGTGGGGGCCCAGTGCCTCCATCTCTCTGGGAGGAGTGGAGGCATGAAAATGGGATGGGGGACCCCTGCAGTTCTCCCTCAGGTCCTCACCCCGCTCCGGGGAGGGCCCCGGCCTGTCCTGCCTCTGGGAACCCGAGGCCACTGCCCCAGGCCCCAGCATCCAGGCATCAGCTCGAGGCCGAGGCCCCGCCTGGTCTCTCCTGGTTCCCGATAGGCCCCCCCCACCCCCCACCCCCGCCTCCCCGCCGCCCTCCGGGGCCCCTCCCCTGCTCTCCGAGCACCCTCCCAGTGCACCTGCTCCCCTGGGGCCTGCTCGCCTGGCTGCCCGCCTTCGCTCAGCGGGGACCCCAATCCGACCCCCCACGCGAGGCCCTCCGCTCAGACCTCCGAGGCGGAAGTCAGCCTATGTCCCATCCGGACCTCGTAGCCAGGGGTCCCCAGCGCTCCCAGCACACGGGTACTGAGGAGATGGGCTCCGGGCTGGGGGGTTGGGGGAGAGCAGGCCGGCGGGGCCCTCCTTCAGGCTGGGAGGTCAGGCCCCTCCTGACCTCCCTGGGCTCCTCCCGGGACTCTGGCTGGCCTGGGCCTGCCCCCCTCACCTTGCCACACAGTCTGCGCTCGTCCCACCCCCCCAAGCCTCAGGTCCCTGCTTCCCCACCTGGAAGCAGAGTGGAGGCCGGCCTCCGTCCCCCGCCCGCTGCTCGCTCCTCAGCTGCACAGGAGGAGTCGCGCTGCCCACGGAGACCCCGGGCCCCGGGGCCTTGGCCCCTGCAGAGCCTGCCCCCCTCACCCTTCCACCCCTTGGGGCTGGCGCAGGCCTCAGGGCACCCCTCCCCACCTCCCTGCGGGCCGGCGGCCTCTACACACAGTCCCCGAAGGCGGCGTGGCCCCGGGCCCCTTGTGTCCTCACTGCGCACACACAGGGCCTTGCAGGGAGCAGAGCTCAGCCCTGTGTGGCCTTGAGGGAGCCGCCAGCAGGGCTCCCCTGGCCTCCCGCAGGCCCTTTCTCGTCCTTTCCGCCAGCACGGCCCATGCCAGAGCACACTGGTCCGTGTTCCTCTGGCATTTTCAGGATGACAGACCAGAGGGACAAGAATGAAGAACAAACAACCTTTTACTTTTTTTCTCTATGTCCTGACCCCATCACTTGACGACATGCTTTCGCATTTCCAACCAATTCCTCCGCGGATGCCTTGGGATGTGGGTCCAGAGCCCAAACACGGAGGCAGGCGGGGTCGGCCAGCTGGTTTCCAGGACAGGACAAAACTGTTTAACTGTTGAACTGGGGAAGTACAGAGGCTTCGTGGGGGATGCCCCTCGCACACATAATCTCTGAAGCCTACGAAACCCTCGAACCTGAGCAACGTGTGAGAGCCTCCTCATGGTAACCAGCTCTGGATCTCGGGGTCACGGTAGAGAACAGGCCCCCAGAGGGGTTCTTTGCCCTGCTTCCTTCCTCCGACCCTCCCCGCACTCCTTAGGAAGCCCAGGGCTGAGTCTCGTCCAACATACACACGCACCAGCAGCGGCAGAAGGGATGCCTCCCTTCGGGCCCAGACTAGGGGACAAGCCACCGACCCCACCCGAGGCTGGAAGGGCCTAGCCGCTCCTAGGGCTCAGGCCCCCTCTTCCTCATCACTCCTCCTCTCCTCCTTAGACTGGGCTGGGAAGTACACCGGCTGCCTGCTATTGATGTGCAGCAAATACTCCATGACCCGCAGCTTGCTGGTTTCCTCGTAGGCCCTGGGCCCCCACAGGAACTCGTAGCGAGTAGGGTCGCTGCCCGCCACCTGCCGGTACTCCACGTAGCCTTCCTGCACCCAGACGTGGGTGAGGAGGTCCCCAGGCTCCCCATAGATGAGGTGCTGCTTGCCGGCAAACACTCCTATGACCCCCACCGCCTCCCACACCTTCTCCTCGGGGACACAGTCGCCCTCCAGGAGGATCACCCCCAGGAGCAGCACCAGGAGGCCGGTCTTGGGCAGGCCCTGCTCACCGCTCAGCATCCCATCATAGCTGAGGCCCAAGACGGTGACCAGGACGTAGGAGTGTGCAATAGGATCCACTTCAATCAAGTCTAGGCCAAAGACCAGCTGCATGCACTCGGACGCTTGGCCCCAGATCACTGGGAAGTCGTCCTGGTATTCTGGGGTGACGACCTCCAGCATCTCTGCCTTGCTGGTAGGCTGCTTGGTGCGATACTTGTGGAGCAGAAACGCTACCAGGTCAACCGCCTTCACATGGAACCCCTCCTGGGCCACGGGCGGGGCGACTTCCGGCTCCACCCCGGCGCCCCACCGCTCCTCATCTGAAGTGCTTAAGCTGTCTTCAGACTGGCTCCAGGGAGGGCCTGCCAGGGCACTGGGGGAGGGGCAGGCCCTCAGAGGACTCTGGGGGGGACTTGGGGACCCAGCAGCAGACCCCTCCTCTGGGGTGCCAGGGTACAGGGCGAAATAGGAAGAGGAAGAGGAGGAGGAGGGGGAGGAACCCGAAAACAAAGGGGAGTAAGTGGAGGAGGGGGGAGACAGGCCCTCTTCCTCCTCCTCAGCCTCCGACAGCTGCGCATCTACCGGGCACTGGACCTCTCTTGGGTCTTGATGATCTTCCTCATGCTTCGGGAGCTCATTCCTCTCCCCCAGAGTCATGATGACTTGTGTCTGCAGAAGAAGGGTTATGAGCAGGTGGGGGAAAAGGGACCCAAGGGCCTGGGGGAGAGAGGTGACGTGGGAACAGGGCTAGCGAGGGGAGGGTGGGACCTCGGTTGAGGAAGGCACCCTTGGCAGCTGTGATGAAGGGGACTCCGGGTCTCTGCTATCTGGGCACCCTCCGGCGACTCCCTCCACCCCTACCCCCGAGCAGCCTTTGCCCTAAGAAGCTGGAGGAGGAGATCAAGGGCCTCCTCTGCTCTGTGACTTAGGTCTCCTGCCTCAGACCTAGGCCTTCACCTCCCAGTTCCTGCAGCCCCTGCAGGAGGGAAGCAGGGGATGCCTCAGGGTGCAGACTGGGAGCCCCGCCCTGGGCCTCCAGTGTGGGTGGGAGGGCTGGCTTGGGCTCTGGGAGGTCCCCACTTGCAGCCCGGGTAAGTCCCCTCCCTGCTCACTCAGGGGACTCACCTTTGCCCTGGCAGGGCCTGGGCCCCACCCCTATGCTGGCCTGAAGCAAAAGTCTCAGAATACGACCATAAAGCCCCGAGACTGAGCAGAAGGAACACAGGGTGTCCACATCTGGCCACGCACTCCCAGGGCCTCCCAGATTCCTGGGAAGGGGCGGCTGGGATCCTGCCTCCACTGACCTGAGTCCAGACCCTCAGACCATGGCCCTGGCCTCCCTGAGAGCAGGGATGTGAAAATAAGAAGGGGCTCAGCCCTAAGGGCCATGAACCCAGTTCCCAGGGCTGACAGTAGGGGCAGGCCAGGTGTCTGTGGGGTCCCCTCCTTCTTCTGACAATCAGGGTCCACTCACTCTTCTCTCCGGGTCCTCACCTGAGACTCTTGTCTGTCGCACTGATGGGCTTCCTCAGGTAACCTGCCTGCTGTCCTCTCAGAGCTGGTCCTCACCTCCCCGAGAGCTCCAACAAGCTTGAGAAGGCACCTCCTCGGATACTGATTTATAAGCAAATGGAGATTTGCCCTCGGTGCACAGTTCCTGGCTCTCTGCTCTCAGACTCCTGGAATTTCCTAAGGGTGGGGAGTAAGGAGGGTGTCTTCTGTTACGTCCCTGAGGTGGCTCCAGGAAGCCCCTTGGGATAGGGCCTGGTGGCCAGGAGAACCACCCAAGGCCAGTGGAGGGATGGAACCTTCAGCCCCACCCCCAGCCCCAGGGAGGGCAGAGGGGCTGGGGATCGGGTGATGGAGCCTCCCCTACACCCCAGAGGCACAGGGCCAGAGAGCTGGCAGGCTGGTGAACTGGGAGGTGTGGGAGGGTGGCCACGCAGACGGAGCGGTGGCTCTGCACCCCTTCCCACGTCCCTTGGCCTGTGCAGCTCTTGTGTCTGGCCGCTGCTGAGCTACATCCTTTCATGATCCACCAGTGATGGAGGAAGTGACTTGTGCGCCTGCGTTCTGTGAGCTGCTCCGGCCACTTTACGGACCCCAGGGTGGGCCTGGGGACACTCTGCCTTAGAGCCCTTTGGTCTCAAGCACCCGAAACAATCCCAGTGGCCGCTGAAGGCTTGGACACCCCTGTAGGTCGAGCCCGTGCCTTTGGAATCTTGAGCACCGCTGACGTGCTTCCCACGCCGCCCACCAGGCAGGCCGGACTCTGGCCGTCTTTTCTCTTGAGATAGGGCTGGGGGTCCAGTCGGTCCTCCCTCGGGGCCTTCACATTGCTGCCTGGGGGAATCTTGGGATCCTCCATCTACGGCCGTGAAGTCTCCTACAGACCATGGGCCCCACATCCCTGAGCACTCCCAGCCCTCGCTTGGGATCAGGCCCCGTCCAGCCCTCCCTATGCTGAGAACAGGGAACCTGGACTCTCTAAGGGCCCTTCTCTTTTGAAGGTGGGGGAACCTCCATACCCTCAGTCTTCCCAAAGGGTCCTTTGCTTGACACCTGACAAATCTTTGACCTCTTTTCCCTGCCCACCACATGTGGCTTCTGCTATTGACCTGAAGCCACCCCTCTGAATGGAGACTCACCTCCCGGAGCCCAAGAAGATGGGTGCATCCAGCACCTGCAGCCACCCCGGAAAGTGGTGTTTGAGGATGCCGAGGCCGGGACACCGGGGCCCACTCTGTGTGGGTGGGGAATCCCTTCAGCCCCTTCAAGGTTCATTTCGATTCCCTGCAGTGCCTGCAGCTATCTGTACCCACCCTGACCATGCACCCTGCAAAGCCTGTCCTTCAGGACCTTACCACAGAGGTGAAAGGGCTGGTGCGGGAGCAGCCTGGCCTAGAGAGACCCGAGTGGCCAGGGCAGCGGGGGGCAGCGTCGGGCTCGGCTGCCAGGGCTCCCCTGTGTGCTGGGCTGGGCGGGCCTGGTGAGGCAAGGTCCTGGCGCCAGGCTCAGAGAGAGCGAGCACCTCACCTGGACCAGTGGCACCTGCCCACACGCGGTGTTCCTGTGCTCTGCGACCTTAGCGCTCCCACCTCAGACCGAGGGCTCTGCTGCCAGTTCTTGGAGGCCCTGCAGGAGGGAAGCAGGGAGCACCTCAGGGTGTAGACTGTGAGCCCAGCCCTGGGCCCCAGTGTGGACAGGAGGGCTGGCTCCCATCCTGGGAGGTCCCAGCAGGCCAGGCAGGGCGGTCCCCTCCTTGGCCTCTCAGGGGACTGCTCTGGCCCCTGCCCTGGCCCCAACCCAGGCCCCATCCCTGGCCCCTGGCCCTTGGCAGGGCCTGTGCCCCAGGCCTCTATCAGCGAGCCTGAGGCCAAAGCGTCCCCACAAGACCAGGTTGCCCCGACTCGCCACACGAGGAGGCCAGGGGACCGGCTCTGGGCAGGCCTGCCAAAGGTCTCCAGGGCTCGTCCAGAGCCAACAAATAAGGGATCACAGATCACGGATCACGCATCAGGGGAGGGATGGCCCAGCTCTGGCTTCCCTCTGGGCTGGGATGGGGCGCCTCTCGCTCTTCACCTGGACCCTACGCAAGGCCTGGGAAGACTCCCTGGCTGGCCCTGAGGCCACCCTCCTTGCACTTTCCTTGCAAGGGCCCCTGCCACGACCCCCCACCAGCCAAAGTCCAGAGAAATCAGTCGGCCCACCCGTCCCGCCTCTCCCCATGGCCCACACAAGCGGCCGGGGCGGCCTGGTCCCCAGGGATCCTGCTGAGGAAGACATCCCTTCATTTCTCACCTCGAGCCCCGCCAGGGCCGGGACCGGGGCCAGGGCAGGGCACCCGCCTCCTCTGCTGATCTGAGTCCAGACCCTCAGGCCCAGGCCCTCCCCTCCGAGTCCAGGGATCTGGAGAGGAGGAGGGGCTCCGTGGGACAGGCCCCACCACCCCATCCCTTCCCAGGGCTGCCAGGGAGGGGCACCCAGATTTCGGGGCCATCCCCTCCTGGGCCTGAGGGCTGTCTTGGGGGCCACTCACCCCTTCAATGTGGGGGCGGGGGGTTGGGGGGGTCCCCGTACTGACTCTTGGCAGGCCCCGGGACTCCTGGGTATCTATTCCCCGGGTGGGCTTGCTCCCAAGCCCTGATTGGGACCTCTCCCAGCGGGGTCCTCACCTCCCTGAGAACTGGGAGAGGAGGGGGAGGTGGCAGCAGTCCTTGCCCTCCACCTACATTCCACCCAGTTCACAGAGAGCTGGGAGCGCTGGTTGGCCCCTCTGTCCTGGGCTAGGAGTCCACTCTGTCCTCAGGGTGCTCATGTGTATTTTTGGCAGGACCTGGAACTATCCCTTCTCACCTGAGTGTGCATCCCACCCACAGGCCAAGGCCCCGAACACCCTGGGACCCAGCGGAGAAAGCAGGGTGCTCACTTTTCTTGACCCCTGGCCTGGCCTTGCAGGGCTGACCCCAGGGGCAGGTTTTTGCTGGGTCCCCTATGTTTGGGTGGGGGTCTGCTTAGTCCTCCCTCAGGATCGTGAGACTCCACCCTCTCCTGACCTGAGGCCACACTATAGGACCAAGGCTGGCACCTCCTGGGACCCTGGGTGCAGAAGTCAGGAAACAGGTCGGCTGCTCCCCTCCTCCAGGGGGATGGCCAAGAAGGTGCCCAAGGGCAATCAAATCACTGTCTGTTTTAGGCTCTAAGGTCCTCAACTCTCACTCTGCACCCCTCCCGGACGCCAACCAGACCGGGGACCCTGCCCTCAGCTGTCCTGAGTCCGTTCTCCTCTGACTGCCCCATGCATGGCTGAGATCCAAGGCCAAATTCGGGGTGCGCCTTAGGCGGCCAGCTGCTCAAGGGCCTCCCATTGAGGACTCTGTGCTGGGGACCAGAGTCCCCTCAGTTCTCCGAGGGTCCTCACCTTGACTCTGGCAGGGTCTGGGCCCTCCCTGCTGCCAAACTCAAGGACCTGCCTCTTACCCCCAGCCCCAGCCTCTGTGGGTCCCGGAGGCGGAAGCCCGCACACTCTGCTTGTCCTCCTTCTGCTCAGGGGCCCCCCGGGCCTGACTCTCCCAGGACCAGCCCCTCTATCCAGGGTCTCCCAGGTCGTACCTCTGGAGCCTTCCATCCAGTCCCACTCGCTCCTGACCCTCAGTTTTTAAACCAGGGCCCTAGCCTTGGTCAGGCAGTCCTGACACGCTGCCCGTGGACAGGGCACACACAGACCTCCCGGGGCCGACAGCAGGGCCAGCTTTCAGGGCGCTGGCCCTCTTGTGGAGTCCGGGCGCCTCCCTGAGTCCTCCCTCGGGGATCTCCACTTGCCCGCAGCACATCTGGTCCTCTCTTTGCCGTCTCCAGGCCTGTTCCCTCAGACCAAAGCCCTCATTGCCCCAAGAACCGCGGGCAAAGACTGTGAACGTCACAACAGGCTACCAAGTCTGGGGAGTCCCCGGGCTGATGGCCGAGGCTCACACAGGTTCCTTGGGGTCCCTCTGTACCCCATCTGGACTCCCTGGATGGCCTGTGCCTTCGGCTCTGCTGCCCGAGAGCCCTCCTTACGACAAGCTCTGTCTCACGACCCGGAGCAGAAGTCAGCACCTGCCCCGTCTCATCGTGCTCCCACCCAGGAGCCTCCTGGGACTGACTCCCTGCTGGGTCCAGGGTCCCTCAGTCCGCCTACTTGTCCTCATCTTGACTCCAGGAGAACCCCGGCCCTCCCCTGCTCTTTCCACCAGTCCCCCTGTCTCTCTGAGCCCCAGATGTGGAGGTCAAGGCAGCCCAAGTGTCCTCTGCCCAAGATGGGGAGCTTCCCTAGGTTGCTGCTCGGGGTTGACATCTGTGGGGAAGCAGGCCTCTGTTCTGGGGTGCCTGGTCCCTCAGGCTTCCCTTGGTTGCTATCTGGACTCCCCAGACAAGTCTGTGCTGGGGCCCTGAGCCGATCCGAGCCCTTTCCCCTCGGACCCAGGTCCCAAGATCTCTCCAAAGGTTCAAGCATATTTCACTGGACACCACCTCCATAACCAGGGGCCCCCAGGGCTGCAGCAGGGACGGAGTAGCTCTATCTGTCATGGGATGGGCCCTGTCTCCTCAAAGGGCCTGGGCCCTCCCCTCTGCCCACCTGAGGCCCTGCTCCTGACACCAGGCCTCTGGATGCTCTGAGACCCGGATGTGGCTGTCTGGACTCGCCAAATGCCCGTCTCCTCCCCGGCCCACGAGGGGCCTTCCCAGACTGTCCTGTGTTTCTCCGTCCTCCCTCTGCAACCTCATGGGGAATTCCAGCAGCACCTGGGCACTCCCCCTGCCCACCTGAGGGAGGCCCTGTTCCGACACCAAGGCCTCCTGACTCCCCGAGATCCAGATGCCGACGCCCGGACTCCGCCCGTACCCCACCCCCCAGGGGCCTTCCTGGACTCACACTAGGACCCCACCACCTAGAGCACTCCTCTTTTCTCCCTGAGGGTTCCAACCTTTGCTCAGGTGACTGCACGGCCTCCTCTTTGCCCACCTGAGGGAGGCCGCGCCTTAGGCCTGTGTCTCAGAGACCCGGATGCGGAAGTGGGGCCTCACCACGTGTTCCCACGCCCCCCGCCCCCACGACCTTCCCGGGACTGACTCTGGGCTGGGGTGCGGGGTCCCTCGGCCTCTTCCGCATCCTCACCGGGAATCCCAGCAGCACCCGGGGCCCTCCCCTCTGCCCACGTGTCCTAGTCCCTGCTCCTGATGCCAGGGGTCCCCAGTGTCTCGGGAGGCCCGGATGTGGAGGTCTGAGCACCCATACTCCCACGTGAGAGCAGATCCCCATCCCAGGGGGCTTCAAAGCCCTTATGACCCTCTGACGGGGTGCTCTTTGTTCCTGTCAATGGCCGATCCCTCGGTCCCCTTAGCCCCGCGACCCTCCCTCCACCCACCTCAGCTTCTGCTCCCGCCAGAGCAGGCCTCAGGCTCTCGGGTACCCGGATGTGCCAGGCCTGCCGCACCCGCCGCCATCATCCGGCCCCATCCCGCTCCCCCGCGGCCTTCCCGGGCTGACCGTGGGCCCTGACCTCCGCCGGGTCCCCTCTGTCGTCCTCAGGGTCCATCCCTCAGTCCCCATAACCCCGGGACCCTCCCCCCGCCCACCTCAGCATCTGCTCCCGCCACACCGGGCCTCAGGCTCTCGGGTACCCGGATGTGCCAGGCCTGCCGCACCCGCCACCACCATCCGGCCCCATCCCGCTCCTCCGTGTTCTTCCCGGACTGATCGAGGGCCCTGTCCTCCGTCGGGTCCCCTCTGTCGTCCTCAGGGTCCATCCCTCGCCTCCCCTTAGCCCCTGGACCCTCCCTCCACCCCCCTCAGTGCCTGCTCCCACCACACCAGGCCTCAGGCTCTCGGGTACCCGGATGTGCCAGGCCTGCCGCACCCGCCGCCCCCCTCCGGCCCCGTCCCGCTCCCCCGCGGCCTTCCCGGGCTCAACGTGAGCCCTGCCCTCCGCCGGGTCCCCTCTGTCCCCCTCAGGATTCATATCTTGCCTTCCCGTAGCTCCTCAGCCATCGCGTCTGACCACCTAAGAGCTGCTCCTAACACCTAGTCTCTCAGAGCCCGGACGCGGAAGTGGGGCCTCACCACGTGTTCCCATCCCCCCCCACGACCTTCCTGGGACTGACTCTGGGCTGGGGAGTGGGGTCCCCCGGGCCTCTTCTGCATCCCCACCGGGATTCCCAGCAGCACCCGGGGCCCTCCCCTCAGCGCACATGTCCTAGGCCCTGCTCCTGACGCCAGGGGCCTGCAGTGTCTCGGGAGGCCCGGATGTGGAGGTCTGAGCACCCATACTCCCACGTGAGAGCAGGTCCCCATCCCAGGGGGCCTCACAGCCCTGGCGACCCTCCGATGGAGTCCCCTTTGTCCCTGTCAATGGTCCATCCCTTGCCTCCCCTTAGCCCCTGGGCCCTCCCTCCGCCCCCCTCAGCATCTGCTCCCGCCATAGCAGGCCTCAGGCTCTCGGGTACCCGGATGTGCCAGGCCTGCCGCACCCGCCGCCACCATCCGGCCCCATCCCGCTCCCCCGCAGCCTTCCCAGGCTGACCGTGGGCCCTGACCTCCGCCGGGTCCCCTCTGTCCTCCCTCAGGATTCATATCTTGCCTTCCCGTAGCTCCTCAGCCATCGCGTCTGACCACCTAAGAGCTGCTCCTAACACCTAGTCTCTCAGAGCCCAGATGCGGAAGTGGGGCCTCACCACGTGTTCCCATCCCCCCCACCACGACCTTCCCGGGACCGACTCTTGGCTGGGGTGTGGGGTCCCCCGGGCCTCCTCCGCATCCCCACCGGGATTCCCAGCAGTACCCGGGGCCCTCCCCTCAGCCCACATGTCCTAGGCCCTGCTCCTGACGCCAGGGGCCCCCAGTGCCTCGGGAGGCCCGGATGTGGAGGTCTGAGCACCCATACTCCCACGTGAGGGCAAGTCCCCATCCCAGGGGGCCTCATAGCCCTGGCGACCCTCCGCAGGGTCCCCTCTGTCGTCCTCAGGGTCCATCCCTCGCCTCCCCTTAGCCCCTGGACCCTCCCTCCGCCCCCCTCAGCATCTGCTCCCGCCACACCAGGCCCCAGGCTCTCGGGTACCCGGATGTGCCAGGCCTGCCGCACCCGCCGCCACCATCCGACCCCATCCTGCTCCTGCGCGGCCTTCCCGGGCTCACCATGAGCCCTGACCTCCGCCGGGTCCCTCGGTCCCCTTAGCCCCGCGACCCTACCTCCATCCCCCTTCAGCATCTGCTCCCGCCACAGCAGGCCTCAGGCTCTGGGGTACCCGGATGTGCCAGGCCTGCCGCACCCGCCGCCACCATCCAGCCCCATCCTGCTCCCCCGCGGCCCTCCCGGGCTGACCGTGGGCCCTGCCCTCCGCCGGGTCCCCTCTGTCCCCCTCAGGGTCCATCCCTCGCCTCCCCTTAGCCCCTGGACCCTCCCTCCGCCCCCCTCAGCATCTGCTCCCACCACACCAGGCCCCAGGCTCTCGGGTACCCGGATGTGCCAGGCCTGCCGCACCCGCCGCCACCATCCGGCCCCGTTCCCCTCCTACGCGGCCTTCCCGGGCTCACCGTGGGCCCTGACCTCCGCCGGGTCCCCTCTGTCCTGGGCTCCTGGGTCCCCGCCCTCTCACCGCGCCCCCACAGGCACCCCCTATGCCCCTGCCCCTCTCAGACCACTGCCCCGGGCTCCAGCCTCCAGGCCTGGGCTCGAGGCCGCGACCCCGCCTTCCCCCGGTCGTCTCTGGGGGTTCCCGACAGGCCCCCCACCCCCCGCCGCCCTCCGGGGCCCCTCCCCCGCCCTCCGAGCCCCCTCCCGGGGCTACCTGCTCGCCTGGCTGCCGCCGGCCCGGGCCTGGCCTCCTTCCAGGGGACCCCACTGCGCCCCCTCACACGAGGCCCCCCGCTCTCTCAGACCTCCGAGGCGGAAGTCGGCCCACGTCACATCCGGACCCCGTGCCAGGGTCCCTAAGGGCTGACGGCACGTCCGCTGCAGGTGGGCTCCGCGTGGCGGTGGTCGGAGGACAGGGCGGGAGGCTCCCTGGGTCCTCTCGCGGGTCCTCCCTCCCTGGCCTCGGGCGGGCTGGGGCCCCGGCTCTCTGCAGACCTCAGTCCGCGCCCCTTACGCCGAGCCTCTCAGGCCCCGACGTCCCTGAGCGCCTGACGGATGGTTGCTGCGGCTCGGGCCCCACCGGCTCCGCGGGTCCCGGGGCGGCCCAGGGCTGCTGGCAGGGGCACCGCAGGGTTCGGCGGCCCCCAGCGTCCGGGGACAGGTGGGCTCTCAGTCCTCACCCAGGAGGCCCTCATCAGGACACAGGCCTGCTGTGCGGCCGCGGCGCCCATAGCCCCGGGGCAGGGGCCGGGAGGAAGCGCCCCTTCCCGTGGGGTCCCTTGGCCAGCAGCCAGACTTTAGAACCGTCCTGTGAAGGGTTTACTTTCCCGGGGGCGGCCGAGCAGCCGCAAGGGTGTCTAGGGGTGTCCAGCATTGCGGGGCCCACTGCAGGGAGTTTCCCCCTCACGTGCTGCGTCATCGGGACAAACACAGCGCCCCTCGGTACCTAGTGGGTGTCCTGTGCACGCGTATGAGTGCTGGCTTGCTCGCGGGTCTATTTATATATGTGTGGCCTGTGTATATACTGCCTTTAGGAACGACTGACTTCTCATACTACATGTCAATACTCACTATTCTATTTCCGCTCTAGTCTTTATATCCTCTTCAAATAAGTTTTGAAAAGGACATCTTCCCATTGTAAGGTGATTTTAGACAGCTAATGCCAGAATCCAGAAGCATCTGCCTCAAACGATGCCGTGTTCTCTGCTGTCCTGATACTTGCCCAGGGCTACTGGCATGTGTCCTGCCAGGTCGTGCATCAGGTTTGTGCCAGGAAGTAGGGGCAGAAGGTGAAAGTTGTTCCCACTCCCCCTGCTTTCCTCTGCATCTCTGCAGCCTACATTCTCTCCCCACATCCCTGCTGCCCCTACATCCCCACCCCAGATACCAGAATCCACCTGCACTCTTAAGGGTACCCCCGGGGCTTTCTTCTGTGTTGTCCTGATACTGCTGTTCATACTCTGTGTTTTGAAAGACTTGCCATTCTGTAGAGCACACTTAGGTGCAGGGAGACAGACAGCACTATACACAGATTTCCCACTTAGCCGCTTCCACGCTCCTACATAGATTCCCTCATACCAACACCCCACCACAGCCACACGCTGCTCATCACTGATGAAGGCCCTCGATTCATCCACATCACACAGAGCCCGTAGAACCCGTTAATCTTCACACCTGGTATTTATTTTTATGGGTTAAACTCATGTATGATGATGTGTATCCATCAGGATAGTATTAGACAGAGGATTTCACTACTCTGCCTATTGCTTCCTCCCCACACAGCCCTGTGCACCAATGATAGTGTCGTTGTCTCCAGAAATTTCCCTTTATACAGTGTCATTAATTGCGAATCATACAACATGGAGCTTTTCCACATGGACTCGGTCACTCAGTAATATCCATTTCAATTTCTCCAAAATTCTCATGACTGGATAGCTCATTTCTTTTGAGAGCACCCAGAATCAATTACCTGCTTTTAGTACAGCTTATCAGGTAACCTACTAAAACACATCTGGGTACCTCTACATTTGAAAAAAAGATGACAAAAACAATAATAAACATCAATGCGCACGATCACATGTGGAAAAGTTTTTAACTTTGTTGGGTACATTCCCATACGGTTGGTGGATAATATGGTAAGAATACATGTACTTATCTAAAACTGCATACATATCTTTAGAGGACTTGTAGCAGTGGCATTCCCAACAAGGCAGGACGAGGTTTTTGCACCTACACGTCACATCAAGGAATGCTTGTAAAGCGGACATACTGGTGGAAGAGGTGAACCGTGGCGGGGGGATATGTACAAGTGGAGACAGTAGAAGCATAAGTATAAAAGCGAACAAAAAAAACACATATATTTAATATTTTTTCCTAAATACACATATATATGTATAGCATGTGTATATATATATGAACTTACACTATACGTAGTATTCAAGATGAGAGACCAAGCCACGTACTTTAGACTCCAGACAGAATCCCAGGGCTTTGAGGAAAAAAATGGGTTGGAAAGCGTCAAGGACAGAAGCTCAAGGTCAGGACGTGCAGCCAAGAAAAAGGAAAAGTCTTTTGTTCTGGCTTCCTGTGCCTCCTGGCCCGTTCATTCTGCAAGGGCCCAAGGAACCCGGACCGGTGTGCTCCGGCATGGGCCGGGCCGGCGGAAAGGACGAGAAAGGGCCCGCGGGAGGCCAGGGGAGCCCTGCTGGCGGCTCCCTCATGGCCACACAGGGCTGAGCTCTGCTCCCTGCAAGGCCCTGTGTGTGAGCAGTGAGGACACGAGGGACCCGGGGCCACGCCGCCTTCGGGGACTGTGTAGAGGCCGCCGGCCCGCAGGGAGGTGGGGAGGGGTGCCCTGAGGCCTGCGCCAGCCCCAAGGGGTGGAAGGGTGAGGGGGGCGGCGGCCCCCAGGGCAGGCTCTCCAGGGGCCAAGGCCCCAGGGCCCCGGGGGCTCTGTGGGCAGCGTGACTCCTCGTGTGCAGCTGAGGAGCATGCAGCGGGCGGGGGACAGTGGCCCTACTTAGAGAAGGGGTGCTTTAGGGGTGGGAGCAAAGTCTGAAGTGGATAATTGCTCTGAGCATCCTTGTTGGATCCTGCAAAGACCCAGCACTGTCCTGTGACAGGAAGGAACGCTATTTGGTTTCTTCCCAACCGCATCAGAAACGTTGAGCCCAAGAA